TTACTTGGCTTTCAGCCACCGAGAGTCTGGACTTGCTATTAAAGGACATTCTCATTAAGCTTGTCTCGGCTTTCATTATTGGATAGAGGAGGGGGTCAGAACAGGTGGCCACACAAATCAAATGAATAACATAAAATATAAATTCAGAGGACAAGGGGGCATGGAAGAGTCCCAGGCAAAGCAGATACGAACGAAACAACGAGGAATGAAAGTGTGAACTTACTTAGTTTTTTCATGCAATCCCGAAGCCTGGTTTCCAAACTGAGGACTCGCTGATGTAGCTCCTCATAATCGTAAGCGCCAATTTCCTCTTGGATTCCAGTAAGTACCGAAGACAGGTTTCTGATCTCCTCTTTGAACTGGGTGATTAACTTGGCATCCGTTTTGTACTGCTCCAGAACTGGTATCAGTGGTAGAAGATCATCCATCTTTTCCTTCAATTCCTGTGAAAAAACAGTTGAGTGGGCATTCAGGAACTCTAAAAAGTGCCCTGTCCTCTAAATTCCTTAATGAGACCTTGTTAGGCTTATCTTCACATCTACTCTTGTGGTTTTTATTGATCTTGGTATGAAAACGATGATTACTGTCCTGTGAGACAGTTAGGGAGCTAAGAATAAATGGCTTCAAGCTTGGAGTAGTAGAACGTATGAAGTGCTCAATTTTCATCTTACTTAAAATAAATCACTTCCTTTTAAATCAAGACTTTCCCACTCCTATAAAATCCAAACCATTTTAAGGACAACTTGCCTGATCAGTAGACCGTTTTGCCTGCTTAATAATTGGCACTGATCCATATATTTGTGTTATATTACTATGACTTTCCTCACATGACGGATTCCTTATGCCAGCATTTATTCTTGAACTAGATTGCAATTGCCATTCTACCGAAGTAAGACAAAAGACAGAAGAACTGCATCTTTTAAACAGCTCACAAGACTATTCCAATGAGAAAAAGCTTTGCAGTCAAGCATGCAGCTTGGTTTACTAATAAAGTATTTCGATTTTTCAATTTTCCGGATTAATTCCTACTTCTCAACTGCCATTAAAAGTAGTCTTCAAAGTATCCCATAGCTATTTTGCTGGTGCTTTGTAATTTGGGGTGTGTTTGTGTGTGGTGGCATTATAAACCTGCACTTAATGAGTTCCATCAATCATTTTGAAACTGTTTTTGTGAAGTGCTTCAGGAATATTCACACTGTTCTGTTTTGGCTCGGTGTAACTAATTCTTGTCAGCTTCAGCTGCTGTTGTGCTTTTTGAAATCCTATTTGGAATTGAGTTGCTAGAGAATGAGTGTGTTATGAACCTCAGTCCTGGTGCTTTTAGATCTGTCAATGACACTGCTTGCAGTACACATTTTATGGGTGCAAAATTAGCATTGATTAGAAAGACTGCCTTGGGATTACTGAATGAAATCCCTTTATCACTGTTAATATCTATGGAGGATTTTATGAATAGCATTTATAATTAAAGCAGCATCTCTGTGCTGTTGTTATAGTTACATTTTAAGAGAGTGGGACTTGGATAGGATTTCCACAACAGGGTATGTCAGAAGCACGGAAAGTAGCAGAGGTGGCTTCCTACCAGTTCACACCAGTTCGGTAGAACCGGTTCTTCAAATCTACCCAACCGGTTAGAAGAGGTTCCACCAGTGGACCCGGAAAGCAGGCCATACCTACAGAAGAGGTTCCAAAATTTTTTGAAACCCACCACTGAGACACACACACACACACACACACACACACAGACACACACACACACACACACAGAGAGGCTCACACAGAGAGAGAAAGAGAAAGAAAAAGAAAGGAAGAAAGAAAGAAAGAAAGAAAGAAAGAAAGAAAG